AAACAACCCCAGCACTGAGAGGGAACCTGGGAACAGCAGCAGGGGAATTTCAGCTGCTCACCTGGAGGAAACAACCCCAGCACTGAGAGGGAATTGGGAACAGCAGCAGGGGAATTTCAGCTGCTCACCTGGAGGAAACACAAACCCAGCCACTGAGAGGGAATTGGGAACAGCAGCAGGGGAATCTCAGCTGCTCACCTGGAGAAAACACAAACCCAGCCACTGAGAGGGAATTGGGAACAGCAGCAGGGGAATTTCAGCTGCTCACCTGGAGAAAACACAAACCCAGCCACTGAGAGGGAATTGGGAACAGCAGCAGAGCTTCCAGCAGCAGGGGAATTTCAGCATTGCCATTCTGCAGCACCACAAAGCCATCAGAGAGCAGCTCGAGTTTCACCTGGATCAGAATGTTTTCTTCTTCTCCTGCCTCTGGTGAATCTGAGCTGACATTTTCTGCTGATAACCCTGATTTGAAACAGCTCAATCTGGAAAGCAGGTTCCACTGCAGGCATTCCTGCTGCATGACAGATGCAACTGTTGTGAGCCAGCACTGCTTCCAGTGCCTCCAGCAGCTCCATTCCATTCCTCTTCCAGACATTAAATGTACATTTATACTCATTAATGGTAAGAAAATAAATCTATAGGGGAAATAAATTCCATATTCTCGTATTTCATCCGGACAGTCTGCCTTTTTTCTTGAATTCAAAACCAAGTTTCCAAGGTTCTCCACTGATTTCTCCAATACAGATATCTATTTTTCATTAAAAAGAATCACCTCTGGCTGCAAAGCCTGGCTTCTGCTGGATACTGATGGAATTCACAAACTAAGAAGAAAATAAAGTTGTCCATGCACCAGTGAATATCAGACTTAGCCCCCTGTGTTCAGTTGGTCTGATGAAGGTTTGCAGCAAGAATAATTTACTGTATAAAGGCCCAAAATGGAGAGTTTTGCTGTGAATCTTTCTGGCTTCCCTATCTCAAACCCCACCCTAAATTAAACCAATATTCTTATGCAAACACACCTTGTAAGTGACTATTTTATTGCAATCATGGTTTTGTTAACAAGAGGTTCAAAGCCATCATTTAATAATATTTCCCTTGCCAAGTGCCATTTGCTTAACAGAATGGGGCACCTCAGGCAAGAAAATCTTAAAATATTTCGGAGTTATCCGTTTCCTTACCAATTCTAATATTTAACATCTTTAACACCAAATGTGGGTCCAATATTAACTTTATGCTGCATTATAATATAAGGAGAAATTGCAGAAATATTTTGGAGGTGCAAAGTTTTACTTCTGTTATTAAAAACCAGCCTGTGCTTGCTTTGATGCCTGCTGGATAATTTCCAGCAGGCAATTTTGAATTTATATTAATTTGTATTTATATTCTGGTTGGGGATGACAAGAGTGAAGTGCAGGACAGGAGCAGATATGCTAATGGAACACAGGCAGGAAAAAAATGATAAGATATTCAGAACACAAAAAAGCATGACTAAGTGAAAGAAGCAGAATAAAAAATTAATAATCTTGTCACTGAAGAAGCACCAACCACATTAAAATTAGAATTGACCTGTAACCCTGTTCAGAAGAAAAAAAAAATAAATATATAAAACCAATGCTGGTGCACTTCATTTTAGTGTTATTAACAGATTCTAGAATAATTTTACAGCCCAATTTCAAAACCCCTTAAGCCACTTTCTTTCTCCAACATTACTGGACCTGGAGCCAACAAAGAGATGCAGAACAATTGTAGAAATTTAACATTTCTGCACAGGACAGGCATAAAGAAATCCATAAATGAATTCTTGCTAAGTCCAAGACTTCAGAAAGGATTCCTGGAACAATACTGACATTGCTACTAGGAATTAAACAAGAAAATAAAAAGGAGATAAACTGGCAGGATCCATCTGCAGGGATGCCTGTTGCTTTCAGAGAATAAACAAACTCTTCCTTAAAATACACAAAACCACAAATCATTAACCTGCTCCAAAATATCAGCAGCACTGGCACAAAGCCTGTGCTCCTGGATTTGAAGCTCTTTTCTCCATAGAAACATCAGAGCAGAGTGTGATACAGACCCAGAAAATATCTCACAGTGTATTTCAGAATTATTGCAAAGGGGGAACGAACAATTTTGAGTCTCTCCATCCTTTCCTGCCATTTGCTCCTCCTCCCCCTTGTTTGGGTGGACACTCCCAACCTGCTGCTCCAGGCTCAGAACTCTCTTTGCTCCTGAAGCTGCAGAAACAGAGGAAAAATGCAACATTCGCACAGAAAAACTGTAAACTCAAACCTGTATTTATCCCAAATTTCCTGGAAGTGCAAAGGCTGGAATACTGAGGTAAGTTTTCAGATTGGAAGTGTTTTCCCACTCACCTCAGACAATCAGGGTGGGAACAAGATGAGATTTAAGGTCCTTTCCCATGTAAATCATTCCATGGCTCTCTAATAAAATAAGCAACTACACCAGAGGATGAAGAAAAGGGAATGCTCAAGAAGGGCTAAAAGAGTTTAGCTTAAAATTAATAAGGAGAGGAGCCTCTTTAATTTGGACCAGCATCACCTGTTAATTAATATAAATACAAATTAATTACAAACTGAAGGATTCAAGACTATTTCCCTTAAGCTGCTTCAATCTAAATATACGTGTAAAAATCCCTGACACGTAGAGAAATTAATCAGCTAAGACTTCAATTCATTAGTTTATTCTTTTGTACATTAAAAAAAAAATTACAACGTAAGGATTTGAAAAGCCGAGTAAACCGGATTTCACACGCACACATTTGCCAAGTCACAGGGTTCAACCACCTGGAGTGCTATTTTCTGATTTTCTCATGGAACAATATACACAGTAAGAGCCTTGGGACAAAGCCAGACACCTTTTTTTTTTTCTCCTCAATCTTTAAGGTGTGCAACTGAATCTGCACAGAATCCTGTGGAACTTCCAGCTTCCCCCTCAGTTTTGTTCACAGAAATTCCAGTGGATTCCCACCTAGGAAGGCTCCAGCATTCCACAGCACCACCCTCCCCCAAGCAAAAATACCCCAAAGTATTGCACAGTTTTGTTCACAGGGCACAGACAAGAAATGGATCCCTCAGTCCCTTCAGCCAGCCCGTGGAACAGAAACTGATGGAGCTGGGATGGGATGCCAGGAAGAGATGGGGAAGCAGGGCACTGAGAAAGGGAACAGCTCCTGCAGGGCACAGAGGGTGGGGTGGGATGCAGGGCTCTGAGCTGCTTGAGGTGGGACAGGTCACCAGTGCCACTGGCTGAGCAAAAGCAAGAACAGGACAATTTTAAGGCAAGTCCCAAAACAGGGAGCTATTTACTTTCTAGGCACGATTTCAAGCTATGCATCAAGGCTCCTGCTTTATCCTTTATATGGTCAGTCATTTATAGGTTAACAATAATACAAAAAAAATAGTCTAAATGTCATTTTTAACAAATCAACTTTTAGCTGGATTTTTATTACTTGCAGCTTGTATTTCATTACTTGCAGATTTATTAACATTTTTTAGCACTACTGTTGTTTGTCAGGCCCACATGAAGCAACTCTAGATCTATATTGCTCTGGTTTCTTCAAAGTAGTTTTGGTTGGAAATAGTTAAATTCAAAACAACTCGTTCTATTGCAGATGTTTCTACATTTAAGATGTGCTGTACTTGAAAAAGGAGGGAAGTTGCATCTTTCTCTGCTTTGTCCAAGGGATCACGAACAACTTTCCCTCTATGCAAAGTCTGTACAGTAAAAAAGGGGCAGAGCAAGACCCTACAAGGACAAAGTGTTTGCAGTGAATTACCCCCTGTTTGTCCAGGGGGGGTCCTGGGCATCACCTGCACAGGAGGAACGTGTGGGACACAGGGACAAGCTGAAAGAAAAAGGAGAAGTGAACAAAGCACAATTCCCTGAAATCTGGACTGAGAAGGCTGGAGATCAACTTCCACCAGCACGCTCCTCCTAATGATTGACAACTGCATCCAAGGACTTGGACTCATTAGAAAAACACACAGGTAATTCCCCAGACATTTATCAAATAAAAAGAGTTGAACAAAAAAAAAAAAAAAGGGGAAGTAATCTCAGAAAATAAATTAGAGTAGCATGACAACATTTGGCTTCTTTAGTGTGACCACGTGCTTATCCTGCTGTGAAGATCATGGCAGATCCAGTTCCTGTCTCGGAATTAATGAGATGTCTGTGACAATAAACGTAGAAAACTCTGCTTGCTACAAGCAAATGTCTGATATCAGTTTCACCTGGTCACAGACTATATGTAGACAGCCTTCTCTGGCCCCAAAATAAATACTATATAGGATTCTTGCAAGTTCCAGCATATTTAGACTCAAACAGAGAACTCAGGTCCTCCTTTCTTTCCTCGCAGTAGCAGCCTCCTGATCCGAAATCCTGCGAAGGGGTTGATCCACAGCAGGGAGGGCTGGCCCCCAAAAACAGATTTCATCCCTTCCCAGCGGAGCCTGCGCTCCCACGTTGGCTTTTCACTCTTGAGTCTTTCAATCTCCTGTAAATAAACACAGGCAGGGAGGCACTGCTAAGTCCAAGGTTTAGTTTCATCTAATAGTGGCTATAAAAACCAAGGTTTGCATTTTTATTGTGTTGTTCCTCAGCTGATTAGTTTCTTACTGTTATTTATTAATTATTAAGGAAGAAGTTAGGAACTGTTTGAGCCCTGTGGCTGCAGGGCAGAAGATTTAGAACATAAAATACGTACAAAAAGGTCGATATACCTCTATCTCTTTCCCCCTCAAGCTAAAAGACAAAAATCCCAGAAAAGCTGATGGATCCACGTGCAATATCCTACACTACAAGTTGTTTATTCAATTAATGAAAGCAGACAGGAAGGCTCCTGCTCCACAATTACTGGAGGCAGGATTACTCTCCCAAATGCATTATTTTGATGGTCATTTTTTGTGCTTCCCACTAATGAAGGCTCAATATTCACCAGCTGTTTTGCACTTACTCCTCAGTACAGAAATACACTTTTAAACATGAGAAAACATTGAACAGTCACAGGATTCAATTTCCTTATGTTTCCAAGCAATTATTCTCCCCAGATGTGACACTGCAGATGTAAGGACCAGGGAGCCAATGACCCAAACTCTGTTTTATCCTCTGGTAAAATGTATCACAGTGAGGTGAGAGACAGTGATTTTCAGTGTAAAATTGAGAAAAGCAGACACTTCCCGTGGCACCCAGCAGGAATTTGTGCCAGCTGAGAAGGGAAAGTCAAACCTCAAGTCAGAAGCTTTGCATTCTTTGTCATTTAAACCCAAATTACAAAATGCCAGAAAAGCAAATAGTGCAAGAGCTTCTGTTAGAAAGCAACCCCAGTAAATCATTCCAATCTTCCCAACTGTCAAAAATAAAAATTATGAACTATTGAAGTTTTGCAGCTTTCTCCAAAATAAGAACCTCTCCTCATGCAAATAAAACCACATCTAATCACATCTTCCCAGAATAAATTTTACAGAATATAAAAAAGTCAAGGTTTTTACCGTTTCATCGTTGCATATTGAGTGGATTTGGGTGCCAAACATGACTGCAGTGAAAGTGAGAAACAGAAAACCCTCAAGGCACAAGAAGATCATCAGGATCACAGTTACAGGTGGAGAGAAGTCACTGCACTCTGTGAAAATGGGATATTGTAGTTACAAAAAAAGCCCAACAGCAAATTGCAGAGCATGTCCTACATGTCTGGCACTTGAAATAATATTTCACATTTAAAACAAACTTCTGATTTTGCAGCAGCTTTATTTGCTGATCAAGAAAAGAAAGAATTTTATGGAAGCAACACATCTGGCTTCCTATAAGGCACATGGTTACTATCTCTGCAATCCTGCCTCAGGATTTCAAGGCTGTCAAATAAATGTTTGCACATGAGGTGAGTGAAGAACTCAGAACTGCACATGAGAGAGCAGCTTGGAGCTTCCTGCATGGCAGATGCTGTAAAACCATCCCCACTGTCAGCTCTGACTTGCTAATACAGATGTTCCACTTGACTGTCGTTGCTTTATTAATTTTTTTTTTTTAATTCTCCAAAGTAATCAGCTTCTGCCTCACACTTCTATCTCTGGAGAGCCTCTGATCACCTGATTAATTCAATTATATTTAAACAAGGACAATGTACAGGAAGGTGAATGTTTCAAATAAAACATCTATTTCATGAAATACCCAGAAAAAAAAAAAATCACATGGATTTCCCTGTTGCTTCATTTACCAAAAGAACACTTCAACAGTCTGCCAAAAGCACAAGACCAGAATGAGCTATGGCACACTGGAACATTAAGAAATACCAGCCAGAAGCCTAAAAAAAAAAAAAAAAAACACAAAAAAACAAAAACACCAAAAAAAACCCAAAACAAAACAAAACAAAAAAAAAAACCCTGGGATAGTTCAGGGAACTTCCTTTCTCCAGGAGCCCCAGAGCTGACTCCAGTAATGGAACAAGGGAGAAACCTGTTTAAATTTTAGGTGTCATTCCCAGAACTGAGGTGGGGCACACAAGGCCCAGATTTAGGTGATATAGTGCTGAGGTGCCTGAGGACCAGCTCAGTTTCCTTCCTACTACAGAGGTAGTGAATTACTACTGTGTGTAAAGGGACTGAGAATGCCCCTGACAGACACAGCTCTCACAGAGAATGACTAAAGGAAACGGGAGAAAAAACCCTGAAAGGAAAAGGAGAGTGATGGATAAACAAATCTGAAATGTTTTATGGATATCACTGAAAGGTGGGGCTAAAATAGGAATGCTATGACTTTTCCCCAATATCTACTAGATTATGATAATGAAAATTAAGGATTTATTTGCTCACCAGTCCACTGCCCTCGGACACAGGAGAAGAACTGAAATCCACAGAGTACAAGAGCATGAGCTGAAATTAGGGCTATGTACATCTGCAAACAAGAGACAGCATCATTTCACTCACTGTCAATGCAGAAAAAACAGCAAAACCAAGAAACTTTGAAACAACAGCAAAAAATTAAAATCAATAGGGGTAGAAATACCTTGCATAGAAGGAAAAAAACACAAAATTTAACAACACAATCATGTCCTAAAGCCATTACTCACTCAGCACAAACTGAATTGTTATAACCAAGGTAGACTCAGGCTAAAATCAAGCTGCTGTTGCTGCTCACTTACCGTAAACAGAACAAAGAATCTCTGATTTTTCTCCCCCACACAATTGTTCACCCATGGGCAGTGATGATCCATCTTTCGGATGCATCGCTTGCAAATACTGGAACAAAGGACAAGAGGCTTCTGGTGAGAAATTGTATTTTAAATGTAGAAACAAGGGCAGCCAGTGGTCACAGGATGATGTACTGAAATATTTCTTGACAAAGTCCAGACAGGGATTTTATTTGTATTTCTTTAAAGAAACTATTTGTTCCCTCTCACAACTCAGCTTTTGTTTGCACCAAAACAGACTGTGTACATAAAATACCCCTCACAATAAAACAGTATCAAGCAAATACAGAACTTCAGACACCTGCAGCTCAGAACAAGCCAAGCTTCAGCTCTCTCTCATTCAGTATTAATAAGACCCTTTCCCTTCTGGAGGAGTTTTTTAGGTAAATATTTCACTTTGACAGGCTTTGAAGTTGTAAATTTTATTTGTGGATAAGAAGAAATCCAAGAAATTCACATCTTCAAGGGAGAAACTGTCACTCTTGAGGTCACACTGGCCATAAAACTCTACTTATGCAATCAAAATCTCAACTAAAGCACAGCTGACAGTATCAAACCTTACAGTATCAATCCTGTCTTCAAGAGAAAACACAAATATTGAAACTATAACCAGCACTTATGGAATAGCCACTTGTTCATGAATGCTTGAACACTCCTGTTCTCTGCTGGTTCACTTGGTTCCTGCCCAGTTTTGAGTACAGGCTATGTTCACAGAAGACAAATAAATACTCCAATAACTCCATTTTACATCTGCTATACAGCATCAGAGGGCTCAGTTCTGCAGCCAAATATGAAGAATTACACACCAAAAATGAAACAGTTGTAACATCTGTTGTAGTTCTTCATAAATCAATAGCTTAAGCAATGCTGATATTCCATTTTCCCAGCTTTGTACTTAGGACAGCCACACACCCAGTGCTCCAGATTTTCCTACAGAGTATCCAGAATATTAAACATTTTCACTTCAGCAGCCTAAAAAATGCAGGCACTGTTATTCAAACCCCTTTGTTTTAAAACAGGCTGATTTACGTGGGGTATCTACAAGTGCTGCAGTGACAAACCACAAAGCAAAGCTGCGTGACTGTCACTGGAGAGACAAAAGAGGGAGGTGTGGGGGGAAATCAATGCTCTGAGGCAGAAAATAATTTTTAAGTCATCACATTTGTATGATTCTAAAGTAATTCAGCATGAGGCAGAACACACCATGTGCAGGTTATGGGGAAGAATCCCAAACGAAGCTTTGCTCTGGGCTATCAAAATCCAACCCCTACATTCCCCCTGCCTCTTGTTTTATGGACAGCAATAAGGACTCATCCTCTGCTACAAATGATTTTTTAAATATAAGTGAAAATCCCAAAACCAGATAAACACCACAGCTACTCTCTGGTGCAGGAAAACTGGGTATCACTCGAGAGGAGACCTTCAGGAGGCTCCTCAAAAGACTTTCCCTGCTGCCTGCAAGATCAGCCTCTCATTTCCCTGAGCAGCACAACCAGACAAGGCTCCTGATGTGCCACAGAATCAATGCCAGCACTCTAAAAAGCAATATTAATGTGAAGTGCTGAGTAAAATCCTACCCAGGCTCAATTGAGCTGAAGGCTGGAGGATGTGAGGTGGGCAGGACTTGATTCTGCTCATTCAGAATTTCTCACAAGCCCACACAGAGCTCTCACAAAGCTCAGATATCTGGAGCCCTGCCTTCATTCCTGATCTCCCACCAACAATCTCACTGCTCCAAGCAGTGGTTCTGCCTTCTTCCTACCCCATCCCTTGTATTTTATTCCTTTTTATACAGCAGGAGTGTGGGGAAATCCCTCCTTCAGCTGCACCCAGGGTTGTTCACGAGAGAGAAGCAAACAGAACAAGCACACGTGGATGGAGGAAAGCCTCTCCTCCAGCCTGGAATTGCTGCTCCATGAACTCAGGCAGGTGCAATTACAGCTCTGAATGCCAAAGATAACATTCAGAAAGACACAGCTAAAGACTCAAGAGAAATGGGTGTGGATAACAGATATTCCCTGGGAGCCTGGTGGAAACATCTCAGTGACTTTGTTCAGAGGAACAGTTCCCCACACACAGAACAGGTAGAAATGATGACAGCTGTGCTCCTTCAGTGAAAATGAAATCCCATTCACGCGGGATAGGGTTCTTCCCTGTGCAGAAAATGTTAACTGCTCACTAAAACACCACTTTAATTTCATCACTTTATTTCAGAGATGCTTAGCTGTAGATAAAAGGTTCTTGCTCTTTTCCCCATCACTAATGTGTATCATGAAACTATTTTTCTTCCTTAAAAGAACTTCTATTGCAGTGTTGCACAACAATTTTCGTAACTACATCCTAAGAGTCTCTTCTGTTAATAATTTACTACTCAAAACATGCACTGTGGCTCTCTCTGAGTGTAAGTATTTCCCAACAGCAACCAACTTCAATTTCCATTTTCAAGTCTCTTCTATCAGCAAATTGCCACTTTGAATACTTGGGACTAGATCATTCTTTTAATGTCCTTGGAATGGGTTTGCAAACCAATAAAAAAATTGGCAGCATAATCAAACAAACATTTCTTCTATTGGGTAAACTCCTGCAGTGATAAATCAAAGGCAAAGAGTCAGATTAACAGAAACAAAGACAATTAAACCAGAAATCCAGCTGCTGAGAAAAACATGACAGCAGCCTCATAACACTTTCAGGCTCTGGCTTTCTCTTTCAGATGTTCTGTGGAGCCATGGATGCACTGAGCAAGCCCCCAAATGCCTCTTTTGCCCTTAGGTAAAACATCTGACAGAATATTTGACCAAATATTAAAACAATTCCTAAGACACAAAGCTGGATCCCCAAACAGGTGCCTGGGGAAAACAAAGCCTTTGAAAACACCAGGTATTTTCTTTATCACAGACATTACCCATTCTTGCTCTGCTTTAACAATAAATGTTGCTGAAATTCCTGCCATAAAGAAGGTAGCTTCAGGATCTCTGATACTCCAGATCTTTTTCTGTCATATGTATTTCAACAGATGATATCAGATATCTTCACTTAGGGCTCCTTCCAAATCAGCAAATCAGACCAGGACCAAAGATGTGGGAAATGCTTTCCATAGATACCTGCAAAGTCTCTATAGGAATCAACCTGATTATGGGATGAGAAAATGAGTGAGACCCAGCCCTTCTTTGCAGGGGCTCCCAGGGGGACACAGAACCGGGCTCTCCTGGATCCCCAGGGATTTTCCAGCCATCCTCCAGGGAACACTCTCAGGCTGATAAAGCAGCAGCAGCAGCAGCATCCCTGCACAGCATGGCAGCCCTGGGATCTGCACCTGAGCAAAACCAGCCTAAAGCACACACAAACCAACTGGAGATCGTTCCATCCTCGCCTGTTTATCCACGGAACTTCTCCCTTCACACTCCAGATCCAAAATCCCACTCACAGCTGAAAGAAGAACAGGAGCTCCATGCCAAGGCTGAGTATTTATAAATGAGAGCAGCTTCTCAGCCGTAGCACTGAGCACTGACACACACTTTTAATTTAGAACCCACAGAGCTCCAGAATCATCTCAGAGTCCTGACAAGACTCTGCTCTGTTCTTTTGACAGGCACTAACTCAGAGATTTCAATTTAGGACTTCTCACAATTCAACACACATCACTCCCCACACCTAGAGAGCCACCAGAAGCATTTGCATCTTTATGTAAGCCCTGATTATGCAGGCACAGCTATTTTCAACTGGCACACAATAAACACTACAAAAGCATTTCCACAGTGCCTGAAAACGCCAAAGATTGAGAATAAAAAACATACATTTACTATGTCTTCCATAGCATATTTAGTTCATCATTTCTGTCCTTTTTGAAATGGATTTTCAATAAGTGGAAGTGCATTTAACCAATTATTCATGCAACTCTGAAAAAATATTCTGCCAATTCACACATAACTTCAAATGAACTGCAAAGAAGAGATGACACAAAGTAATAATTTAAAACTACTCTAAATTTTGTTAATTTAAGAATGCAGGAGTCACTTCTTAAATTGGCTCCTCTCAGAAATTTCTTAGAGATTCTTTTCTTTGCCCTGCATTACCCACAGCACAATAACTGGAATGATGCACAAGAAAAGATATTCACTGATCAAAATTATTTAAGACACCAGTGCACAGTTATTTTAATAAAATCTTAAGAGTTTCTTACTTCTCTCCCCTCATCCACAGTCATTTTTGGCCATAGTACATTACACTCATAAAATACTCTGCAATGTAAGAATTTGAGATACCAAAAGAAATTTGTGGAGGAAAAAAAATGAACAAATATCAGGAATGTTATTCCATGCCTCCAAATGCAGAACTCTTTAAGGAACTCTGGCATACCTGCAGTGGTGTGCACGCTCAGGTTTGATACTACAGCACTTGGGACATTTGTAGATCACTTCTCCTGGTTTCAGTTGCAAATTATCCATGTATTCTTTAGTGGCATTTCCTTTGGGCACAGCCCCCTGCAATCATTTCAATTAGAGGAGAGAAAGCTTCTTAAATGGCATGAGAGCATTTAAAAATACATTTCATAGACTTCATACCAGTAACCTCAGGATAATTGCTGAAATAAGTTCATTTATTCAAAGCAAGTCTGCTATAAGCCAGAATCAATTCCAAATGAATAAATTACCTCTGCTTGACCTCAAATTCAGCTTTATTCCAGCAAAACTCATCTCTGGCCAAGTATTAGCTTAATTCTCATAGAATATCCTGTCACCAGCCCACAGAAATGAAGAGGGAGACACATCTTACCCTGCAGATACAAGCACTGCCCATCATTTGCTGAGAAGTTACCCTGAGTATTTCTTGTGGCATTTGATTAATGGGCCAAGCCATCCAAAAAAGTTAAATCAGCAACTACTTGAAAGATATTATTTCAACTCTCTGAAGGTTTAACCACCTGCCCCAAGTCTTGAGAACAGTCTTTTTTTTTTTTCCTAAAATCTTTAGCTTGGACACTGTTAGCAGGACCAGCACTGGCTTCTTTAATCTTTATTGTGCAGCTTCGTGGTAAAGAGTTGAAGGAACTGATTCGAAAGAAAAATAATCAATTGGGAAAAGAAATTAACTTTTAGTGATTAGTTCTATGATCTGATTATCACAGAGCTGCACCCTGAGTTCAGGATCTAAATTTGGATTAGTCAAGAGAAAATAATGGACAGCACCACTGTCACCCTGCTCATTTATGGAGATAAAGCCTTATCTGTGAGGGGAAATGACTGTGAAATAAACTGGGATGTGACAGCCAAATGGATTTTCTGTACCAACTGCTCCAGGTCAGCACTTCCTTCACACAGGGAAAGCTTTCTTCAGGTCAGCCTAAGTCAACTGCAACATTCTACAATTAATTCTCATTCAAAAAAAGTCCCCTGGCAATATGAGCACTTGACACAGACACCTTAAGAAGTTCAGGGACAGAATTAAGAAGGCAGCAGAATTCAGATTCCACTGCCAAACACCCCTCTGCTGAGGCAGGGAGTTTTTGCTATCCATGGCCTGGAATAATAAATTTGTGCTTGTGCTGGCCAAGACACAGCCCAGGTCCTGTCCTAGGTGAGCTCTTTGGCTGAGTGGTGCTTCAAACCTGACCAGGTGCTCATAAGGGTACACAGAGACTTCCTGAAACACTCCTGTTGTACTCCTCAGGTGGATTTTGCAATCTGAACATTCCTACCCCAGTTAATATTTAGTGTCAACATCTCACATTCCCCTATTCACCTGCCACAAGGGTGTGAACCTCAGACCATTCTTTCAAGCATTTTGATGACAAAAATAGACTATTTCAAAAATATCTTTCACAGTCACAGCCAGCCACCAAAAATCTGTTTTTATAGTTACAAGAGTAAATTCAATTCACATAAGTTTTGAGGCATTTCATTCCTTTCATCTTAATTTCTATCACACAGTTGTGTCTTCCATTCTGGGAGTCAGCAAGAAAGGAATGGAGGAAAAAAGCAGTGACTCATCTCAGTTTGGATCATAAAAAACACCACAGGTCTAGAAAGACACACAGTTTTACCAGCTCATATTTATAAGCAATAACTCCTTAAATCATTAACTCTCTTTAGCTGTCATAGTTTGTAGAAGCTGTGATATTTCATCACTGGGTGTGGACAGAAGTAAATCAAAGACTTAGAAAATCATTAACTACAACACCCTGCTGGGTTTTTTAACTTCTCTCTACACTGCTACTGGAGAAAAATCTCCATTTTTCTCCAAAAATCTGGAGAAAACAGATGTTTTCCGCAGATTTATTCCCTCAAAATACTAATAGATATTAGTACAAAATTAACCATTTCATCTCTTGAAATCTTGAGGAGTAAAAGTTCTAAGAAATGAACTCCTACACTCTTACAATGCTTCAATGTATGCTCAGCTTAAATCTCCCTTCCCTCTGACTCTAAATATTCCAAGACAAAAATGCAGGAATCACATGGGACAGTGGTTTTTCCATTATGCCAAGCGTGCCTGAGGTTTTGCAGCACATCCACCTCTAAAAGTTCTTCCATGTCCTACAAATGGAAGCATTTCAAGAGATGCAAAAGGATGAAGGTACAAATTCTGAAAATAAATCTGATGAAAAAAAGCAAGAAAAATGAGGACAGAAAAGACTAAACTTTATTAGCTTCTTCAGGACCTGGAGTAATATTTTACTGGGTTTTTTTGAGTCTAACACTTTTATAAATTTTATATTGACTGCTCCTCTATGATTTCCTTAATGGAGTAACAGAAGAAGTAGAGGTACTGTCCTGATGATAAGCACAGGTAGTATCAAAACCTTAAGAGTTTTGAATCTAACACGAGGATTTTGACTCTAACAGGACGATTTTGACTCTAACACGAGGATTTTGAATCCAACATGAGGATTTTGAATCTAACATGAGGATTTTGATTCTAACATGAGGATTTTAACTCTAACAGGACGATTTTGACTCTAACAGGACGATTTTGAATCCAACATGAGGATTTTGAATCTAACAGGAGGATTTTGATTTTAACATGAGGACTTTGACTCTAACATGAGGCTTTTGACTCTAACGCTACTTTTCCCAGCAGGAGAAGACCTGGTATCACTTCTCCAAACTTCTGTGCAGATGGAGGGAACAATCCAATGCCAAGGAACTCCTGGATACTTACTGGATCAGTGAGCATAGTCCTCAGATGCGACGACAGAGCCAGCACTGCCAAGCAGTTAAAGAGAACCCCGTTGATCACGGAGTACCAGAAGTCTTTGGAAGGCAGCAACATGACAAAAGTCACTACAAAGTCTGCATAGACCACCAGGAGCCAGGTCATGACGGCACAGACCATGCCACAGCCATCCCGGATGAACCAGACCCTCTCAGCCATGTCAGCCTCCGAAGAGGAGGAGGAGGAGTCGTAGCTGTCATTGTCGGCCAGGAGCGGGTGGTGCTCGACATCGCGGAAACGGTGCCCTGATGACTGCATGGTTTGCTGGCCTCACCCTGCAGGGACAAACACACCCCCACCACCACCATCAGCATCATTTTATTAATTATTAATGAGGAAATAGAGTCCAGCTGGCTCTGGGGTTTTGTTTCTGGGAGATAAAGCATGTTCAAGTTCAAATGAGAACTTGGATTCTTTTTGACATCTGAGCGATTCTGTGACTACAGCAAGATGAACATGAAGGAAGCAGGAACACATTTTAAGGTTTTGGTTTTAGGGTTTTTTTTTGTTTGTTTTTAGTTTTGTTTGTTTTTAGTTTTGTTTGGTTGTTTTTTTTGTTTTTAGTTTTCTCATAATTCTACTCTAATGTCATTGGTAATAAATTAAGCTGATTTCCTCAGGTCAAGCCTGTGATGGTAATTGCTGCATGATCTCTCCTGCTCTTCTCTGGACCCACAAGCCTTTTTTTAATATTTTCTCACACATTTCTGAGAGAGAGAGACACAGACCAGCTTTGGTGGGTGTCAAGTCAGGGTTAACCCTCCACTAACACGTAACTTCAATGCCTGACAAAGGGATTTTAGACTGTTTTCATTTCCATCACGCTGTGCTCATAAACCACTCCTCCTCTTTGTTAAAAACTCAACTTCTCTCTTTTATCTCAAACTAAAATGGCAAAGTCTTCATTAAATTACAGCTCCTGTCTCTCTGAAAACAGCAAATTATGGCACCAGACTGTTGAGTTCTCATTCTTCTCCAGCAAGTGAGGGAAGAGTAGAAAGGAAAACCAGGAAGAAAATAAAGCTGTTCTGATACTTCACTCACAACAAACAACACAGCAAGTTAGAAAGCAGCTAAATTTATTGACAAAAATGTTATTGTTTTGGAAACCACAAGTCTGTTACAAAGATGTATTGGATAACTTATCAAATGGTCTCAGATCAACCTAAACTTAAGGGAAATAAATAGTTCTGGTTAAATTAACATGGCAACAGATTACATGAATCAGATTTTCAAAGAACACACTAATTAATTTAATTTCATGAGAATTCTCTTAGGGCTTTGTTGTCCTTCCAACATGGAACAAAAACCAGACTTGAAGCCTTAACAATTCTCATGAAAACAGAATTATTTTCCAGACATCTCTCCCAAGGAAAGATATGGCATGGCAAAACTGAAGTGCTATCAACAAACAGGAGACAAATTAAAGCTTAAACATTAGGCCTCAAGAAAATCCTGCTGCTTTAAAAGTATACTGTGTTTTAAAAATCATATTGATTCCTGCTCTTAAAGGCCATATCTGAGAGAAACCTGAAAGCATTTCTATTGATTTATGACAGGCATACAGAGGTCTCCCTTTTTCCCCTTATTAATGGCAGCCTATACACAACTGTAGGGATTATGGCACTGCAATTTCCATCCCAAGACCTTGAATATGGGACCTCTAGAATGGTCCAAGTGACTATTACAGATGAAGACACTGGCACTGAGATGGTTTTTGATGAAGCTGTGTTTGTCTAAACTTAAAAACTCTTTATCAGGAATCAGAAGAACACATTCTGCCCAGGAAATCCTTCTATTCCTTAAGCCTTGATGTTAGAACCAGGCAGGAGCAATCCAAGAAAGCAGAAATGAAAATAAATACATGCAGATGCAGCAGAGAGATGTGAAAGCAACTGCAAAAATAGCTGGGAAGCTCCCAGGACACTGTGAGGTGTCTGAAGGACACATCCTCTGCTTGTGGAACAGAGCAAACTGAAATTCAGCTCTGCTGCTTGGATCTATTACAATTTCTAGGAGTTAAATTGTGTTTTCTGTTCACACATTGGGGTTTTTTTGGACAAAATTCCTCTCTCTCACCAGAATGCAGCTAAGCCAAGGATGAAGATGTCACACACTAGAAAATTACCTTAGAAAAAAATGAACCTTATCTCTCTTAAAAGTAATTTAAGCTTATCTTAACCTAAATAAGGCCCTCTTTTCACCCAGTTCAAATTATCCCGATCTTTCTTAATGTTCAGAGTTAAAACTACAACCTGTCCCAATTAAGTCAAATAGCACTTTGGGACATCACCACCCCTTGTGGTCAAGAAAATTTAAGTGTCATAAAAATACATAATTAGCAGTTGAACCATGAAGATAACCATGCAAACCAGTAATTACTTCAAAAAAAAAGGGCTTCTAAAACTTTTAAGGAATGTTTTAAGTACGGAATGGCACAGAATCACTGCATTCATTTTGCTTAAATATCTTAAAGACAACCAACAAATTTTAGCACAATTAAAGAAATCCAAAACAAAACAAATACCTCAAAAATGTTTAGTATGTTATTCTGACATCCTTCCTGCCTTTGGGTTATCCCTGGTTATTCACATAGTCATGTCTGATGTAATCTGAAAAGACATCACCAACAAACTGATTAGCAAAGCCGCAACAGGAAAATACTGTTAAATACAAATAACAGACATCAACAGTAGCACTCTGAAACATGCTGCATGCAGCTCCAATGAAAAAGTTTGTGTTTTATTTAGAAAACCAGGTACTTGAAACCTTGACGTTTTTCACTGTTAACTTTTGGAAATCACCACATGGCACTTGGAGCAGGATTGCAGCACAGAACCTTGCATTACATTTCTATTTGGGGAAGAGAACAGAAGAGGTGTGGGCCTGAATTGCTGTCTGATTACGGCTGCCTAAAGAAGTACCTAGAGTTTTCTTCTTCATTGGTTTTATTCTCTATTTATTTGAAGTACATTTTGAGATGGGGAAATCACTCTTATTTGCGAGGGTAACAATATACTTTGAGAGTAACATAAGGATTCTGACATTTAAGAGCTACAGCAAATACAAAGTCACTTTCTTGAAAAGCTTCAGAAAGCAGCTTGTTAGAAATAGATACTCCAAACACAACATTACTGGTGGAGTTCTTTAGTACCCATTTTCAAATGTTCCCAGTTCAAGGGGAATTGAAAAGGAGAAGTCTCTTACCTTATTTAAACAAACCCAAACATTCTAGTGCAAGACTAGATGGTAACGCAAATGTTTATTATGAACATATCAGAATTATTTAATAGACTGGGGTGGAAGGGACCTTCAAATGTCACCTAACGCCACTCCCTGCCACAAGCAGGGACATCTCCCACTATCCCTGGTTGCTCCAAACCCCCAAGCAACTTGAGCCTGGACATTTCCAGGGATGAGGCATCCCTGACAGAGCTTCCCCATCCTCACTGTGAAAAACTTTGGATATCAAATCCCAGCTGACCCTCTCTCAGTTTAAAACCATCCCCCTTATCTTCCGTATCACTGCAGGAAGCTGTGATTGCTTTATGGTTTGCTTTACAAATAAGCTTTTAGACTTCTCTTAAACTTCACAATATTGTGAAATGACACCCATTAAGTTGTCGCTGAGGTGGCATTTGGTGGCAGCTGAGCAGAGGCACAGGAGCAGACAGGCTGAGTGTCTGCCATTCCTGTGCAGTGCCACCCACCCGTGGGGAGCTGGGGATGACAGCAGTGGAGCACGACACACTCAGCCTCTGCAGGTGAAATACTCAACTCACAGCAACCGGCTGCAATTGCTCGTGGGGAGTCACTGACGAGACAAGGACGTGATTTATTCACTCAGTCCCTAATCCCAGCTGCAATCCTGTGCAAAGCCTGTGTTTAGCACAGCCTCACCAGTTACCGTGTATGTGCAAGTGTCCCCTCAGCTCGGCTTGGCAGGGATGATGGATTTCGGCACTCCCCCTTCCCTCTCCTCCCCAGCTGCCCACAGCAGTGTCCCCACCTGGGTCCCTGTGAGGACCAACGTTTGAAAGCTCTCCCTTTGTGAAGAGCTCAACATCCCCACCGAGATGCTCACAGCTTCCCTCTGCTCTTCATTTATTTGCTTCAATGCCTGTCCTAACCAAATTTACTCTTTGTTGCATCCTTAGAGTACAAAAGGGCAAAGCATTACATTTCAATCTCTAATACATCAAGCAACAGTTTTTAATTTCACCTCGTACAAATCTTTATTTAGCACCAGAAGATAACACCAAATTATTCAATGCTTCATGCCCAATGTTATGTTTGCACATGTGGTTAGACTAAACCGAACCCAACCCTGTTCCACTTTTAGGTGTTATTTGAAATTCTCAGGTTGGGAATATCTCATCTGACCCTGAAACTCAGGTCTAAAATGCAGATGGTACTACTGGAATAAAGAAAACCAAACAACTTTTGAAGAAGTTATGTTATAAATTCACGATCACCAGAAAGACGGCCCTGTAAGATCATTTTGTTTAGTGGAAGAAGGTTGCAAAGGGCATTAGGAAGACAAATGCCACAACACAAATAATTGTATCATAAGGCCCCTGAATTGGTAATTAAATTTTAAAAAACAGGCACTTCAGGATTAAAAACAGTCCTTTTTCCTGCTATTTTTGAGTATAAATAGAAAAGTATTGTTGTAGGAAAAAAGAAAAGCTTATTTCTCCGTAATTTTTTTGAACAAGTAAGAATTTATATACAGGCTAAAAAATCCATCAGCTGTCAAAGCATAAATTTTTTTGGTTGCTTTTTCCTTTAAGCCACACAATGGACAGTTCCTAAGATTCCTCCCATTTCAGTGGTAACACAATAAAGAAAATGCCTTTATTTCAACATTTCTGATTGCTCTCAATAGTTGCAGAGACACCAACACATACTGCACATTAGAATAATAATCCTGCAGCACTTGCATCCAATGGATTTAAATCCTACCTGGAAGCAAGAGTACTGGTGGCAAATCAAAATTACAGCCCTGCAATCTCCCTAAGAGGTTACAGCATAAACATTAACTCCAGGAACTTGGGAGTTTGAAGTAAACCAAGCAGGCAAAGCTCCTCCTGCACCCATGGGCAATTTGGACTGTTCGCTGCTGACAGATAAATATCTATCAGATGATGTCTGCACAGAGTCATGTCTAATTTAGAAGAATCACCTACTTTTATTAGAGATTCAGGCAAGCCAAGCTGCAATGGCATTTAAAAAATAAGCTGTGGCTTGTTTCAATTCTTTCCCAGTGACTGGCCTAGCAGCCACCCTCTCAGCAGTTTGGGAATCTGGGATGTCCTTAACGCAGCACACACAACTCTGGAGAGAGCAGCTGAAATAACTTGTGATGGAGATCCATGATACAACCCTGGAGTGTCACCATCAACTTATCCCCAGATCCACGCTCAGTGGCACAGCTCACCATCTCCCAAAAACCCTGCTGTTGTTCTTACAATATACCAAGTGTTTATCTCTTGAATTTCCCACTTATGCCTTGAAGCCCTTTCCTTGTGCTGGTCCAACTCTGCTCTCCTGCAAGCACACAGGGACAGGCCAGGGGAACATGGAATTAATGTGAGATTGTTTGTGTGCACACATTGAAGAGAATATTCACTAAGTACATATTTAATACAGTCAATTTTCAAGCTGCAGTAACAATTCTCCTTAAGCCAGCCTATAGGGAAACAGTGGAATTGCTCCTTTCCAGCTGTGAAAAGGGGATGTGCTGCTTCTAAATCACCTCAGACTAAAGGTATACAGAAATACTTCAGCATAACTATGAAGGTCTTCTTGGGAAGTTGATAATCTCATTACTTATGTATTTTTTCAAACTGAAAGAAAAGAAATTTAGTTTAGACATACAGAATGAACTGCTCCCAGTGAGGGTGGGAAGGCCCTGGCACAGGGTGCCCACAGAAGCTGTGGCTGCCCGTGGATCCCTGGAATTATTCAAGGCCAGGGTGGATGGAGCTCTGAGCAATCCCATCTGGGTGAGGATGTTCCCAGAGGGGCTGGGAACAAGATGATCTTTAAGGTCCCTTCCAAACCAAACCATTTCTATGATTTAAGACAGTAGCATCTTTATAAACATCCTCAAAACCCAGAAATGAGAATTCAGAGTAAAAGAATTTATTAAAAATGAAAGAAAACACCCCAATGCACATATTCAGAACACATATTTGTACAAAATATCACAAACCTTGCTATCAGACATGGAATAGATCTGTGATACCAAATCACTCTTCCAAAAGCACAAAGGAATACCAGAGATGTTCAACAGGATATCTTTTCAATAATACACCTTTCACCCTGAGATGTGAAAGGCAAAGAAAATATACTACACCTGACTTTGCTGCCCAGCAAAGAACCACAATATCTGATCCACCAGGAGTTCACTGGGTACAGCAGCAAGGACAAAACGCTCCTGGATTAAACAACCTTCACCTGAGAAGGACACGAACACAATCTGTGGCTGGGCTTTGATTTCTGCCTCTTCTGGAACAGGGCCACAGGCTCAAATTCAGATTAAGACTCCACAAGGCTGCAGGTTCACACCAATACCAACACTGGCATGTGAAAGCTGAAAGTTTTACCTCTTTGCCAACAGCAATTGCATGCATTATATCCTACTTGAGAGTAATTTTTGTTTTTCTAATTTTTGCATTCATCAGTGCAGGCTCTATCCTCACACTCCACTGAAGAGCTCAGGTATCACATACAGTGATTGCTCTGTAATAACCTGGCAAGCACATTTTTATGTCAGCTGTTATATCCACATCCATGCCCATGTGATTCTTCCTCCTAGGTTCCAAAAAATAATGCTATTGCTCAAAATATTCTCACTAGCAACTTCCAATATTCATCAGAGGAATGTTCAAGCCTTTGTTTCAATTGCTCTTCATGCCAGACGCATAAATCCTCACATCCTCTACGTTCTTCACATTCAGCCATTCAACCACTGCAAAATTCCATCCATTCACTTTCCTTAAAAGTTCTCCATCCTCATAAAACACATGAAAAAGAAATCGTCAGATCACATAAAAAATATACTATGCTAAAGGAAAACCAAGACAAGAGATAGAGTATTCAGAGAGATAAAAGTATTACCAATTCCTTTCAGCCATGGAGATCTCAGCTATTTAACTCTAATCTCAAACCACTAAAATATCACATCAGTTTCATCTCCTAATGAACCACTACGGCTCCTTTTTATCTGTAAATTTTCAAAGCCAGTAAGCATTCACTTCAAAAGAGCTAATTTAAGTCTGTTAATGTGAACAGTCACGGCGACTTCAACCTAATTATGTCTCCAGCAAAGCAAACACTTACATCACTGTAATTCTGCATCCCGATACCATCATATGAGTGGATATTCAGTACAAAAAGTAGCCAGTGGTTTCCCAATCTCTTTTTTTCTTAATGGCACAGATCACACGCTGCGCTGTACGAACCCACCCTCTCGTTTGACAGCAATCTGCATCCCCACTTCCTGCAAGCG